CCAGCTCAGCCCACCAGGGGGCGGGGCTGGCTGGCATGTGATGCTGGGGGATTGAACTGTGGTCCCTGTGCTTTGCTAAACTTGTTCTAAGTAGGTGCTTTAGACCACTGAGCCATCTCACCAGCCCCTAGAATATATTTATTGAGAGAAAGAAAGCTCCTGTCCAAGAGAGGGACAGGAGGGGGGGCCCCGAGTGGATAGTTCCCCCACTCCTATTTAACTGTAACTTAACGCTCATTCATTAACCTTTCTCCCATCCCTCTCTCCCAGCTACTAGCCCCAGCATCTAGTAATCACTGTTCTACTCTCAACTTCTAGGAAATAACTTTTTTTGGTCCTTTTGAGACAGTTTCATGATGTAGTTCAAGCTGGCCTTGAACTTACTTTATAGCCCAGACTGACTTTCAATTCACAGCAATCTTCCTGCTTCAGTCTTCTGAGTACTGGGATTACAGGTGTATACCACCATGCCTGGCTGAAGTCAATTTTTTGCATTCCACATGAGTGAGGTCACAGGATGTTTGTCTTTCTTTGCCTGCTTTATTTCACCTAACATAACAATCTCCAGTTTCATCCATGTTGTCACAAATTACAGGCTTTCATTCTTTTTCATGGCTGAATAGTATTGTATGGTACATGTGTGACATTTTAAATCCAATTACCAGATGATGAACACTTTTCAGGGAGAAATCTTAATCTGGTAGTGATGGCAAGTCTTTCTAGTCCAGCTCCTCTCCCCCTGCTCCTCCCCTTCCTCCCTCCTCTCCTCTCTTCCTTCCTCCCTCCCCTCCTTTCTCCTTTCCTTCTTTTCTTGGACATGGCTGTAAAATATACCGAAAATCACTTAAATGCCTCAGGGTTAAAAGTGAGAGTGCTCAGAGTGAATGGAGTTAATGCAATCAAAGCTATGATTCAGAGATCATATCTTGTGCATTTGGCATTCTTCAACTAAGTTGTTAAGTGTGAGTCCACCTACTTGGAAGATAAAGCTTAAGGAACGGGGATTTAGCAAATGAGGCTTCCCTAGAAACAGAGGCATGGAAACCGTTTCATAAATGCACAGGGCCCTACAAGGCTTTATGTCCTCCAGAGAAGAATGAAAGGCTTTATCCAAAAGAAGGCTAAGGCAGAGCTTCCCATGTCTGTTTGGGCCCTGTTTTGCAGGCAGCCTGCCATGAAACAGCTGAAAGAACACAGAGTCCACTGTGGTCAATAAATACGAAAATAATGAATGTCAGCTGTAATTTGTGTTGGCTAATAGTGGGCAGGACTGTTGTGGTCTGTGTAACTGTTCAATCCCAGGGTGCTCTTACACTTCTGAGAAACAGAGCAGGCACTGGGTGCATAGGCATCCCCAGAAAGTGCTTCTGACTGTTTTTCAGTTCCAATTTCACATATGGGGTACTGACTTTTTATCAGAATGTTTAAAACAGGGTAACGTAATTTGTATTGGGGGCAGGGAGCCAGCTGTTTTGCCAAGAGATCCACAAAGCCTTGGAGCTGCTTTAAGTGCGAATGCCGGTTGATTGCTTAAGGGAAGAGTCAGGGATCTGTCGTCTCAGTGCTCGCACTTGGCAAACTGTGTTTCTCTGGAACAATAAACTTCCACTGTCCACGAAGGGCATTAAAGCAGGATCACCTCCGGTGCGGTCACTTCGCTGACAGAGAAATAACCTCGAGGCAGACGCTGCCCCAAGGTCGCCAGGCGCCGCACCTCAGCTGGAGGACCAGAGCGGCGGAGCACAGCCGCCCCTCCCGGCGCGAGCAGCCGCTGCGCTGAGCTCCGGGGCCCGAGCCCCGCGCGCGCGGCTGTCAATCAAAACCCTCAGCCCGCCCCGTCCGGAGCTGGACCAATCGTAGTCGGGGGTCGGGGGTGAAGAGACGCAGCGGGTCAGGAAGCAGGGGCTGTGCGGCCCTGCGCTGCGGACGCGGACCCCGGCGTGCGCGGCCCGCTAGAGAGCGCTTGGCGGGCGCTGGGGCGTGGAGGTGAGCGCGGAGTTGCGGGCAGTGTGAGGGCGCATTCTGGTCCCGGCTGCCGGAGAGACCACCGCTGGCCCCGCGGGCCGGGCTGCAGAGCGCTTCCTTCAGCGCCGCCCCGAGCGCTTGGCCGGCGCGGGGGACCTGCCGCTCTCTCGGGGTCGCCGGGGGCCGGCCGTGCTGGAGCCCCCGTGTCTGGCGCGGGAGGGCGGGGCCGGGCGCGGCCGTGTGCACCTCGGCGTCCCTCACTAGCGGAGCCGGCCTGCACCGCGCGTCCGCTCCTCGCGCGGCCTCGGGGCTGGCGGTGCCGCGGCGCGTTGGGCTGCTCTGAGCCCACTGAGCTGGCTTTGGCACATCAGATGCAGGTTGAACGGAGAAAACGAGGGTGACTTTGGAAGGTGTGATGCGGGGGCGCCGGCCCGTACCCGACCTGCCTTACGGAGGGCCAGTAGGGTGATGGTGCCAGAGGGCTTCTCGGGTTATGCAACATTTGGATGAAACTGTAGATTTTGTCTTGCTGTTCATTATTTACTCTAAAGGATTGCGGTTACGATTCCTGGAGATAAAGAATTACAGTGCTCTGATATCCTCCTCCCCCCCCCCATTAACTACCATTTGGAACTTGAGGGTGAGTTTTAAGCTGGCAGGACTCCCAGACCCTGATAATCGTCTGATTCCAATCAGTGGCATCAGCGTCCTACTGTCCCTTTACAGTGTTTGGGTTGTGCTTTCCTTTGTGTTTAGTATCTCCTTTCTGTCCGTTATCCTCACAATCAACCTGGGGTTGAGAAAATGCCGTTACTTATAACTGAGAAAGGAAGGAAGGGATAGATTTCTGAAGTGGGGCTGGTGCTTCAGAATTGGGATGTCCTGAGGTGACATTCAAAAAATTTCCCCAAGGCCATCCCTTATTAACTGATACAAGTAACGACTCTTGGCCAGGGTAAATTGTGGTTCTTCTTGACTATATTACAATTACCTGGTGACCTTTAAAAAATTGTTTCCTAAGCCTACACCCAAATAATTTTATTGGTCTGGTGGGCACAGGTATTTTAAGAAGCTTCCACAGTTACTGTACATGCAGAATTGAGAACCATGATCATGATCAATCAGTATGCCCTGTTTTTTTCTGACGGCACTTAGTACTATGTGACTTATTTAAATTTATTACTTCTGGAACTGCCACTGTTGAAAGAATAAACCTTGCTGCTGAAGAAGGGCAAGAAAAGATCTAGGTGAGTCAGCACTTTGGGCATGGAAGTGGGGTCCGTGAAAGTAAAGTGGAATCTTTGGAAAGAGTGTGGCACTCTTTCCAAATAAAATAATTTTTATTTCATTTTCCTTCAAGGATTGACTTTATGTGGTTGACTCATTATTGTCCTGGTCCTGGATTGGTATCCATTTCTTTCTGTAGGTCTTGTTCTGTTAACTGTCAAGGTCTTACTCAGTACCCTGTGAAATACAGTTGTTCTTTGGAAAGTTTGAAGCAACCATTTATGTTTGGTTGCATTCCGTCCATGTGAATTTGTGTTTTTGTCTCTTACATAGGGGAGTGCATGTTCTGAATTAAATTCCAAACATACTCATAATTGCAATTATGTCGATAACAGGTTAGAATATTTAGAATAGTCACAGTCTCAGAAACAGAAGGTGGTATAATATGATGAACGCAGTTGAGGATGGGGCTGGTGTCAGATTTTTTTTTTTGTGGAACGGGGCATTGAACTCAGGATTCTGCCCTTGCCAGGCAAGCACTTGTTCTACTGAGCTATCTCCCTGCTCCCCGTCAGATTTGCACTTAATTTAGGTATTTCATTTGTGATATTAACAATTGTAATTCTAGTAATGTAAACAACTACTTTGTAATTTTCTTGTCAGATAGGAGTGGGTAATCAGGTACCTAATGAAGTATATAGAATGGTTTCTGGGGCTGGTGAGATGGCTCAGTGGTCTAAAGCACCTACTTAGAACAAGCTTAGCAAAGCACAGGGACCGCAGTTCAATCCCCCAGCACCACATGCCA